GGGGCAAGGGGTCCGCACCTTCGGCTCCGCGCCGCGCCTCGCCTCCGTCAAGGGCGACCTCGCCTCCGTCAAGGGCGACCACGGCCTGCGCCCTCGTGCCCGCGCCGCCTCCGGCCTGCGCCCCAGCGCCCGCGCCTTCTCTCTCTCCGGCCTGCGCCCTCGCGCCCGCGCCGGCTCCGGCCTGCGCCCCTGCGCCCGCGCCTTCTCTCTCTCCGGCTCTGCGCCGCGCCTCGCCTCCGTCAATCGCGACCTCAAGCCGTCCTCCTTCTTCTCGCTGCGCGACTCGATCATGAACATCTCGCGCGAGTAGAACCTCTCGCTTCCCCTCGGGGGAGTCCAGTCTGATCGGGGGAATTGCCCCACGTCCGCGTAAGCTTCCCAGGCGCGGCAGACTTTGCATGTTTGTCCCATCTCCACATCTTCTCAGGTCATACCGACCTGGGGGGGGCGTTGGAATGCGGAGATAGTAACTACTCTCTGTGGTGCCCTTTTGGCACTTTGCTCGTGTCCCGCGTGACCCTCTGTCTCACATGAGTTTCTTCCCTCGATTGTGTCACGCGGGGTTGCTTTCTGTGCAGCTTTTGTGCGCGGCTCGCGCCCTGCTTCTTGTACCTTACATCTTTTGTACGACCCTAGACGCGAGACCCCGGCTGCCCCTTCGAGGCTACACGCCGGTGCTACTCTCGCGTTCCAAACGTTGCGACGAGGAGCGATCCGAACGTGGTATTCGGGTGATCAGATCACTACCGCCAAAACGCACAAGACTCAAGAGCACTGCGACGGATCGGGCTCATGCTAGCATCCCACCTCGCGGGCCGACGTTCTGGCCCAGCGAGGCTGCGGCGGAGGACTCGCGGGCCGAGTTTCTGGCCCAGCGAGGCCGCGCTGCGGGACACACCGGCGGCTCGGTTCGCTCCTCAACGCAAACTCGGTCGAGCAAGAAGTCAGGTGTGTGTGTGAAGGCGACGCGGCACGGTAAGTAAGGGTCGGCGGTAAGGCGGCCACGGCGGCAACGGACGGCGGCAGGTAGGCGGTACGGCGGCACGGTTTTTAGGCGTGCATGCTGCTGCCGCAAATTCTTTCGCACTGCGCGCCAGGCGCCCATGTGTCGAAAATTCTTTTTCGTGGCCCGAGCAGCAAAAATATATGCTGCCGGCCCTCCTACTCGGCCTTGCTGTGCCGCATCCGATTGCCTTTGTCACGGAACGCTGCAGGAACGGACATGCGAACCCGCCCCCTTGGCCGACGCCGGGACGAAGATGCTACAACGGAGATGGCTCCGCAAACGAGTGCTACACCCATGCGTGCGCGCAGACGGGAGGCACACTTTTCTACTGCGAGCGCTCGGACCGACAGAGCGCCGAGGTGAAGGCCTGCACGTCCACCTGCGTGGTCGGCGCTGCAGGGTGCTACCTCCACAAGTGCCACGAGCACCCGCAAGGGCACAACGCGACCTTTGTCGACTATCTCTGTCGGCCACAGGCCAGGTCGAGCAAGCGGCGGGTGGGGGTCTCGAATCTGCGGTAGCTTCGCCGCGCAATACTTAGATATGTGTCTCCGCTGCGTTTTTACGCGTCAGGGAGCAGGGCGAGGCATCTCTGATCACCGCGGCAGTACGTGCATGGTTGCTGTGTGTTAGTCAGTCAGTCAGTGTTACACACCTCCTAGCATGGAGGACGGGCCCACACGCACACACGCGCTGCACACGATTGGCTCGGGAGCCGACACGAGGCACAGTGTCAACGGCCGTAGCACCGGGTCCGGACTGCTGGACACACACAGCACACAACAGCTCATCTCAGCGTCGAGGGGCCGAGCCGCGAGCGTTTTTGATCTCTCTCGGTGAGTGGGCGCCCGCCCGCCGCCGCTCAGGGGGTCGGGCCCCCTAGACTGAAAACAAAAACAAAGTGTAGAAACCGTCAAAAACAGCCTGCGAGAGCGGCGCTGCGCGCCGCCTAGAGGACGACGACAGCGAAAGGATGTCATGTTGCGCGATGGATTCATCCATTTCGTCAAGCCACCTTCAGCTTCATCGTGACCGTCGCCACCCTCGCCGCCGTCTCGCCTACGTCGCCGCCGTCGCCATCATGGGCCTCGCTGCCGAGACGGTGCTGTTGCATCTGACTCAACTCTCCCAGCCCACCCCCCTGGCTCCTATGCCGACGTGTCCCGCGTGCTTCCCCGTCCGCTGATGTCTCTGCCGCCGCCCGGCGGAGCTCTGCAGCGCGGGCCCTCCTCGCCGCCTTCGCTGCCGCTGCATCGCTGTCGGCTCGTCATTTCTGTCTACGGTCATTTGGGGCTGCCATCGCTGTTCTCTCTCTCTCCCGGGGTCAGCTCCAATCTGCCGTGTCGGGACGTCGCCCCCTCGGCTCCCCTCGGCTCCCCCCCCCCCTTTCCGCTGAACTGCATGCTGCGATTCTCGCCTTGTCCCAGGAGCCAGGTGCGTGTGTCTAATCGTAGTGGGAGCCTGGCCCCCCTCTGTTTTCTGTTTTCTGTTTTTCAAAACGCCCGCCCGCCCGCCACCCCGAGGCGGCTCGGCCCCCCACTCACCGAGAGATCAAAAACGCTCGGCCTCACAGGACAGCTCACGAGGTGGCGCTATGTAGTGGGGTTCTCAGGGACTGACGCGGGAGAAGAAGGTGGAGCACAGGGACAGGGACACAGAACTCACGAACTGATATCCCACCCCGCGCCGGGGGCGGTGGCGCGCGCGAGCGTGCTGCGCAGTGAGAGTGCGCGACACCACCAGAGGTGCGCCCAAAGCCACGGGTATTGCTGTGTGTTAGTGATCTAATGGTTGGGTAGTAGGGGTAGAGGGTTGCCCAAAACTTAGACCTGCTCGCAGGCGAGCGCTGAACTAAGCCCCCGGAAGGAGACGGGCTCTCAAACTTAGACGCTGGTGATCGGACTCACGAACTTAGACGACACGAGGTGGCCAGTTCCGGGTCTCTGCAGGAGCCCCCCCCCCCCCCCCGGGGGCCCAGCCACAGCCCAGCCAGGCCGCCCGGTCCGGCCCGCGGTCTGCTAAATAAAAAGTGTCAACCCTGGATATTTTGCACATGGGTCAAAAAGCTACAAGCGCCGTCGCCAGTTGCCGCGCATCGAGCCGCGCACGACCTCCTCTCCGCCTCTCCGTGCGCAAGTTGCGACGGCGCACGCCCGCCGCAGGCGAAGAAAATTTTGAGGCAACCCTAATGATCACGGCCGACTTAGCCCGCATAAGAGGCTCCCGCCGATCTTAGACCGCGTAAGCACCCCAGCGTGACCGGTCACACTTAGACCCGTTAAGCCTCGAGGCTCAGAACTTAGCCTACTACCCAACCAGTGGTGATCTGTGATCTGTGAGGGTCCGCCCGCAGGCGCATTTTGTATACCGAGGCGGTGCCCGGTGCCGAGCGCAGGCCGGAGCCCACAGGTCGGACCTTAAGACAGCGTTGTAGATCCCTGGGCGAGGGTGGTGGAGAGGGCGGTCTGGCGGCGGAGCAACCACCTCCTCCCGACGTGTCGGCAGGCAGGATGTCATCCCCCGTGATCCAGACCGCCCCGTTGGAGGTAGGCCGCTCGTCTAGCCAATCAGCCTTAAGCGAGCGGCCTGGCCGTTTGAATGGCCGAGGAGCGGGACGGGGCGGAGTCGGCCTTACGGCACGACTGCAGTCACTAAGACTGCCCGCCTTTGCCCGCAAGGTTCGGGGGGGAGAGAGAGGTCAATGACCTGCCTAGTCGCCCGACATGCCAGGCATGCCGACCTTTCGGAGCCCCCCCTCGAGACGTGAGGGCAGTGCACTTAGGGCCGAGCCCCAGCGTGCACCGCCCCACACGCCTCACGCGGCCTCTGTCTGGAGCGGGATCGCAAGCGAGTCCCCCCGGCCGGCGCGCGTCTTCCAGTACTTCCACCCGAGAGAGGAGCGGGGGAGCGAGGGACCTTCCTAGTTGTCCGGCATGCAGACGCATGCACGGCCGTTCAGAAAATGACTGACTAAGTATCCGATAGTGGAGTTGCAGCGTTAAACTTCGTGTACGAAAACCAGCTTGCTGCTTGGTTCATGGTTGAGATAACACACAGTGTTGTAAATACTAGGAACAGAGAACATGGAGAAGGGAACTACCACGACGAGTCGAGCACGAGCCACACACACACACGACTATAATACCGACTAACTGGCGATCTCGTCTCTTGTGGTGGGTCTTGCTCTACGAACATCCTGTAACGAATATGGTCTCTCTGAATGCGCTACACGCGCGCCCCCCACCTCTGATACTCGCCGTGGTCGTGGTCCAGCCCACCATCGCCGCCTGAGACAGGGAGGGGCGCGTCTTGCAGCCGGTCCCTCCGGCGGCTCGGTGCCGTCCAACGGTCCACGTGCCGCCTGAGGAGGCGCGTGGCCGGCGCCTCGACGAGCTCGGTCCAAGCGATGCAGGCGGCGAGGAGGCAGGCGAGGAAGAGCAGCAGGCCTTGCCTGTCTGCGAGCTCGCGGCAGCCTGGCGAGGGGGCGTGGTGGGACGTGGGCGGGGGGCGTGGGGGAGGGGGAGGGGAGGGGCAGCGAGCGGAGGGAGAGAGGGAGGGCCGGCAGACTGCTCGCAGGCGGCGCTGCGACGGCGAGAGGTCGGGCAGTGCTAAGGTCCAAGCGAAGCGGGCGGGCAGGGCAGTGTGGCGGCGGGGAGGCGCACCCGCATCTCCCGCCACCACGCCGGCGAGCGCGCGGAAGAAGGGCCTCCCTGGGCGGGGGTTTGCCGGAATGAGGGAAAGCCGGGCGGGGCCGGGGAAGGGGGCCGGGGCCCGGAAAAGGGAAGGGGGCCCGGGCC